TAGCATCCAAGCTTCATGTATACATTAGATGCATTATATGCTGATCTCCTTTTTCATATAACTACATTCCAAAATTGTTCACTTACAACTCCCTTAATGACAGTTACTTTATTTCATTTTATTTTAAGGAAAGATTCTACAGGGTGTTCAGGGTCTCACTACTAGATCAAACTCATAGTGATCTGTCTGTATGCAGCTTCCCAAGAGCTGGGATCATAGGCATGCGCCACCACGCCCAGTCTCAATTGCCATCTCAGCGTGCCCCAAAGGGTGGAACCAGCATGGCAGTCCTGGGGACTGAACCCATTGAACCCCTGGCCTCTTTGCCTGCTTGCAAAGGTTTTAATCTGCTGAGCTATTTGGCCAGCCCTGGCAGTTACTTTAATTTATAGTTTTATTCTCTAAATGAACATTTCCTTTTTAATACACATGTTTGCGAACTGGGCATTACTTAGTATTGAGCATATATTTTATTGTAAAGAAGAAAAAAACAAATAACAAAAAGAACAAAGACAAACAAAGCAATATACATCTCTTTCAAATAAATGTTAAAAAATGGAGAAGAAAAAATTAAGGTTTTTTTTTTTTTTTGTGTGTGTGTGTGTGTGTGGCAAACCAGTGATTGAACTCAGGCCCTTTTGCTTGCCAGGGAAGCACTTATTCTACTGAGCTATCTCCGCAATCCAAAATTAAGGTTTTTAAAAGGAAGACTTAATGTTTAATTAACCAATCTGGCATACTTATATCTGATAAGCTGAACAACAAATTTAACTATAAAAAAATGTAATACAAACATCTATTTTGAGCTGAAAACTATGTATGTACATTTCCAAACTATATCACATTTGAAAAAAATGTACAAAGATGCATTGATTTTCATACGTTGGTATTCAATATATGAAATTACAAAATAGCTTGCATACCTTCATTGTTGGTGAAAGGAACTAAGCAGATATCAATGTATCAAATTATCTGTCTTATTTTTTCATTGTCATAGGTATAACTTGGAAATTACCCTTCCTATTAACCTAAATTTAACTGCAATATTAATGATTTAGTGCACAAGTTTAAATAACAGTTCATTCTGTATTAGATATTAATAGTTTACTGAAGAGCAAAACAAAATAACACTAGAGATTTAGTTATGCATGCTAATTAAGATAATACATTAGTTTTTCAAGTATCAACTTCCAGTTTGATTATTGATCAATCTAAACAAACTACAAAAATGAATTCTCATTGACTTAAGGTTAATTATGACCTTGGTGTTGACCAGAAGTCAGGTAATAAAGCACATATTATAACATAATTATGATAAGTTAATCACACTTAATGGGATGTGGAGAGGAAATATTCAGTGCATTTCATTTCACTCTGTTGAATTACTTTGTGAAAATCTTGTCCCTGGAGGCCCTCTTAATCTTATCTGAAGTGTATTCAGAATTGAGTAAACATTTATGTTAAACATGGAGTAATTATTGTAAATTGCCAATCAGGATGAGCATGATTTTATACATATATGAGAGAAAAATAGGTGTAGGAAAAAACCCACACACACAAAATCTCTCTCAAATTCAGATGTGTAAATTTTATGTATTCAATTTAATATAATATAAAATTTAATATCAAATAGCTCAACCGTCTCTTTTTTTTCACAATGGCAATAGAGTAGAATTTTATTTAAAAGACTAGTGGTTCAAACAGTATTGCTTTGTGACACCATGATACAGGAACAGGTTTTCTTATGTCTTGAGACCTGGCTGACCTTGAAGGGCTAGAGACAAAATGTTGGCTATCCTTACAGCCTCTCTTTTTCTCTATTTTTTTCTGCAAACTCAAGTTTTTAACCCTCCAGAAGAGAAGCTTAATGATATTATTACCCTACAACAGAGGCAGTTGAGCTTAACATGACTGTCTGTCTGAATATTAAACACCTTAGACATAACATGGAACAAGTATTTTCCAACCACCATTGACATGTTAAACTTTAAATCCCTATATAATGTGAAAAAAAATTTAAAAAAAAAAACAATTACACATTTTTACACAGAAATTTAGAAATCTAACCACATACAGTCCTATGACATTTTTTTCTTGTCTCTTGTTTACTTTTCTATCTTCTTTTAAACCAATATTTACTTGAGCAAGAGTATAGCAGTAATTGCTACAATATTAGAAGCAGTATCCATTTAGAAAACCAGAATGACTGGCACTCCAAGCATGGCCCTAGTATTACACATTGCTCTCCTCGGTGTAGTTGCTCACTTCACAGGTATCAGCATATAGAGTTAGTCAGTGTGGAAATCCTACCAATTAACTACTAGTTTCAAAAACATGATGGAAGGTCTCAGGACCATTGCCTTAACCTTCTAGTGTATATAAATGTATGCTTTTTCCCCTGCCATGTTTCCTAGCTTTTCTCCTTGCATTCTCTTCTATTTTTAATCCTTAAATTTTCACTTTCTATTCAGTTATTATACCTTTCAATTTTTATTTCTTCTTTTAAGTTCTTATACTAGTGAATCTGTACCATATTTACACATGTGGGTCTGGTTTATTTCACTTATGAGTATATCTTCAAGTGGCATCCACTTATATTTGAAGGTTTTGAGTCTATCATTCTTTATAGCTGAGTAGTACTCCTTTCTATAAGGAGAATATGGGGCCATAGACTTAAGTGATCAACGATGTAGATTGTGCCTAAGGAGAGGCACTTAGAGAAAAAACATTCTCTCAGGCTTTCACAGAAAGCAAATTGGTGAAGCCATGGCCGTGACTCATCCACATGACTGACACTGACAAAAGATCTACAAACTGCTTTACAGGGTTTCAGGGTAAATCCTGAGGAGATTTGACAGACCTTGTCAGATACAAAAGTTACATTTCTTGTAATGTAGGTCTTGCTTTATCTTGGTCTTAACCATCCAGCAGAAAAATATAAACATGAGGTATAAAAATTAAAGCCATATTCATATGCTGAGCTGTAAAAGGCTCAAGTCAACAACTTCTGACATTGCCAGTTCTGCAGATAACCAACTACTATTATGGACTACTGAACTATATTGGATTACTTTGCTGTACTCTGGCACGTGCAATATTTGAATGGCAATAGAATATCCATGTCTAACAAAACTAAACAAAAAAGGAGGACATAAATGAAGGACCATTTTGTATCTGTATATACAAAATAGTTAGGATAGATATACAGCTACTTTCTCTTTGCTTAATGAGAAGAAAGATTTGTTTTAATTGTGTTTAGACAAGATATCATATCTGCATCTTATACTATGAATAACCACTATGAAGATAATAATATGAAATATATTATTGTGACTGTCCTACTAACCTGTTTGGAAAATGTCTCATTGCTATTTCTCTCTCAATAAAATTAATTTTTTAAAAAAGGAATAAAGGCTTGAGTCACCACAGGTAAAGAACCACAAGTGACATGGTTACAAAGAGCAAAGGGAATGTGAAATGCATAAATACCTGCTATGATCCAATGGCCAGTTACAGAAATGAAAATTGTCTAAATTATTTCCCTCCTTTCATTATAAATATATTTTGTAAGTGTCTCTATGTTTACCTTTGTTTCCTTTCCTCTATTATCTCTTCATCCATGTTTGTATATATCTTTGTCTATTGTTGTTCTATGGACTGAACTTGGGACCTTGCATTTGCCAGGAAGGCACTTATGCCACTAAGCTGTATCCCCAACCTCTCTTCATGACATAATATAACCTCAATAACTTTGTATCTGCATATAAGTATTGTTAACTTTACACAGTATGATTTAATTCTGGAGATTTCTACAAGAAGAATTCTTTGAAAAACAACTAATGCATTTTCAGTTATACACATATAATTATATCCCATAGGCAGAAAGAAACACTATTGATTGAAGAACTCTGGCAGATAGAAAATATAATAGCATGTGAGGTTTATACAGATAAAAGGAGCTGCAGGCCAGCTCACAAAGGAATTTTGATATGCAATCAAGAGAGAAGCTAAAACACATGCTACAGGAGTAACCTTATGGGTTTACCTTAGTTTAATTGTATTATCAGTCTTAGTTTGCCTATAAATTTTCTGTATGTAAGAGAAATAGATGAAAATTAATTAGTATAAAAAATTTTCCCATAAATAATCTAAGAATTTTTCTGTTGATGATCACTTTTTTCTTAGTCCAATTACCCAAATCTTGACTAATAGCTTTCAAAATTCTGCAATAATTGGCACAAGTTCAGATGCGCATATCCGCACTCATTTATTCTAATCTATTAGCTCTGTAGTAAAGCTATTTCCATACAAGTTGTCAGAAACCTGTACTTTTAGAAACACTGATTTTTACAAAAGTCCTCAAAATAATTTTAATTTTTATACTATGTTAGTAAATATATTTTAGCACACCTTTCAACATACACTTTTGAAATATATATATTATCATGATCAACAAATTTATTTAATGTCAATAGAGTCTATCTCATTCTATAGAATATTAATGTATTTACATTTGTATGAATTAGTTTAAACTTTTCACTACTGTTGCCTAACTGTTGCACATTTATATCTATGTATATATTGAATACTATAATCCCTTTTCCATTTCTATGTTCAAATATGTATTTTTATTTAATTTATTTAAATGTTTTAGTATTTTTGCATTATAGAAAGTTTAATGCATGTGAATATCATTTTGTTTATTCTTCTACATTCTGTGATCCTTCCTTCTATAAAAACAGATTTTTCATAATAGATTTTGATTACTTAAAATTTCAAAAACTCATGAGTCAATTTTATAGTATCTAAATGTGATAGAAAATCTTTTATAAGGTATATCTTTTCAGAAGTGTTTTTAATTCTTGTGAAAATAAACTCTGAAAAATATTCACCCAAGATATTTCTCATTAGATAATAATATTTATTCTATTTCCATCTTTACTGTTGTTTTCTTTTGGAATGTGACTTTGAAGTATACTATTTTTTATTTTTTTATTTAGGTGAAGAAGAACCTAAACACCTTCCCATTGACCATTGTTGGGATAGCTTCATGTATACGAATTCTGCTTTCCAACTACTTTCTCTGAGTCAGAAGCAAGGTACAGAATTTCTAACTCATTTTCTTTCATTCGTTGTGCTGCTGTATTTGAGAAATGATATATATGCCTGTGCTCTTAATACATATTTAATACTCATTATAATTGGAAACATTTTGGTAAGTTATAAAAACATGGTTTGATGATTAGTATTAGCTTTATGTGCATTTATTCCACTTACATTACATTTAATTCGTCAGTGCATAAGTGAAATGTTTCAAAAATTACATATATATATATATATATATATATATATATATGTAACACATGACCTTATCTAACATATATATATAGATAAGGTCATGTGTTGCACAGTTATGTCACACACTCCTGGGTTCAAATGATCCTCTTGCTTCAGTGTTCTTTTTTTAAAATGTTGAATGTCTGAATATCATATTACTTAATACATGGGTATAGAATTAAAGAAAATTTTGAGAAAACTGCAAATAACTATTGTTATTCATAATTACATTTTGCTTAGACTAAATATTCTTCATAATTTTAAATAGCCATACTGTATTTTTCTGCATATTTATGCCAACAATATAATGAATGGAAAACATGTAAGAAAGAATGAATTTGCTTAGGAATTTAATGTTTAAAGTTATGAATTGGTTTAAAATAATGTTTTTAAATTACAAAAAGAATTTCATTATAAATGTGATAAAGTATTAATTATCTTAGAAATGTTAATACAAAAACATTAATTGAAATCAGTTACTTACTGACATACATCTAACATGGGTTAATCACTCTCTTCTATTTACTGTAACTTATTTTAGCATGTTTACTATCACTAATTCTTCTAATTTGATATGAGGCCATGGAGCAGTTGTTACTGTGTTCATTGAATTGAGAAAATTTCAAATCAGAAAAGTCTACTTAACCAGAATTTAAACAGAAGCTAAATGGCTGAGCTGGCCCTTTTGTTTCTGACTTCGATGTCTTTCTTTTTAATTCTTTGCAATATATTAAAAGTAAAAAGAAAAATAGTTCATTAAAGAAGAAATGTAGATTCTGTTCAAAAAATGTGAAAATAAGTACAATGTCAATAACAACCTTGTACATGTTGTTGAAGAACAACCACCAAAGCTACTATTCTCATTTATTTTGTTGCTCGTGTTGTTGATTTTGTTTTTGTTTTTGTTTTGTTTTTTGTATCAACCTAAGTACCAATGCTAATGTTTGTATGGCAAAGGTGGAACAAATGAACTATGCATTTGGGAATATAAATGAATATATAGTCTGGAAAGCCTTTTAGGTTATGTATATAAATAGAATTTGAAATTGTCATCTTTTGGTCCAATAATCCCAATTCTGGTTAATCTTTTAAAATAAAAATATGTCTGATACATGCAAAAGATATTTGCTGTTGAATAATTTATAAGAGCAAAAAGTGAAAAAAAAAGGCTCAATGGAGAATATAACTGTTATATCAACTTTTATATATTTGTGCATTTTTAATTTCACTTAGCAAATATTAAAAGCATTCTTTTGTAATGAAAAGAAAAATTCCATTGGTTTTCCAGTGTCTTTTCACATTATGCAATGAACTGAAAATGTGTATAAATATTTTTCTATATTTCATAGGTGAATATTATACGTAGGTAGGTGATTCTTTTGTTTGCCCTTTATTTCATCCAACTTTTACTTTTTTGCTAGCAGTGGCAACATAATTGTGATTCCTTCTTCATTTAGTCCATTTTCACATTTTTAAATAACAAACACTTTGTTGCTAATGATATTTGTAATGTGACTTAGACTGTACAAGTCACACTAGCACCATATAATTTGCTATATCATGTGGCATTTCATTGCATTTAATTAAGTTAAATGTGAAGCAATAAAATTAGAATATGTATTTTGTTCCATGGATTTGTATTTCATGTCTTAGGTCATTGCCACATAGTTCAAGCTATGCCATTTTGTTTTATTTTTGACATTTTTTATTCAGTATCTTTTAAATGCCTTTTTTCCTATTTTCATTTATTTAACCTTATAGAAAAATATTAGAATTGTTTTTCATCCAACTCTAAAATACTCAATAATATTTTAATTGCAACTACATAAATCTATAGGTTTTCCAGTGTCTTTTGGGTTGGACTATATCTATATGATAATCTTCTTATTCAGGACCATTTATTCTCTTAGTATTTTATGGTACAGAATTTAGAAATATCAGTAAAATTCATTCCATATTTGCCTGACAAAATAAAGCAGTGATACTGTATTCTAAATAATCCAGTTAGTAATTATATGCATAATATAATTTCTGTGCAAATTGAAAGCCAAAATTTTGTTTTCCAATTTTAAAATTTTTAGTTCAAAAATAGAGATTTAATTATCTTTCTTAATTAAAGTTTAATTGTGATCATCTTCAATTGGGTTTTAAATTTAATCCAGTTTTCTACTGAATTCCTTATTGATTTTTCTAGTTTTTGCCGTGACTTGATTTTTGAGAAAAGCAATGTACATCTTGCCTTTGCAGCAGGCTTCACACTTCAAGATGTGTTTCTTACTGTTGTACATAATAAAATATCCAAAGTAGTTCCTTTTCTAGAAATTTCTGGTTTGCTATTATATTCTGATATACTATAATATTAGTTTTAGGGGTTTTGATAATTTGTAGGATTTAAACAATAAAATTACAATAAAAATGTGACCACAGACTTTTTTATTGTTACTGGCATTCTTCGAGATATTAGAGTAGCTATTTGTCATTTGTACAAAATTTCCTCTAGGAATGCTTTCATATACCAGCAAAAACATTTCTGACCCTAAAGTTAAGTCTTCTTACATCAACATGAAACATCTCCTTGACTAATATTTGAAAACTGAAGTTTATCTTATGTTTGACCACTTTTACCAATGTGTTTTATTCAAATAGAAAGGCCAGGGCTAAGGAGATAACTCAGGGGCGTAAATACTTGCTGGGCAAGCACAAAGTCCTGAGTTTGATTCTTGGTACTGTCAAAAAAGGATGCTGCTCCTCCTTTTCTGCTCTTGCTGTCTTACTGTTTTCCACTGCTATGAACTGTTGCCCTCTGTCATTTGCCATCCTACCTTTTAGCCAGTCTGTGAGCTAAATAAACCTTTACTTCCCTAAAAAAAGAAAAGAAAAAGAAATCATATTTAAAAAACTAACCAACATGCTTAAAGAAATTGACAAAATACAGGGATAAAAATGTCTTTTTATGATAGGATTTCCTAAGGCATTTTTTGTCCTATAGTACTGCATGCCTTTCCAGGTAGAGGATATATTGTATCACATACTTGTATGAGGCCAAGAAATATAGTTACTCTTAGATGAACTGATTCAGCAAGGATCTTCTAAATTAGCACCCTCTAATTTCCTAAATGATATCACTTAACATTCCATTTATTTCAATTAAATGTACTCAAAGTTATAGTGATATCTGATGAGATTAGTTTATGAAAGGTGCTGCTTTATTACATTGTAATAGTTATATTCACCTTTATAATCTAATCCTGACTTTACCAAAATTTTGTCTTATATGTAACTAAAGCATATAAATAAAATATTTTATAAGCATTCTTCATATTAACTTCTTTCATGAATGCTCAATTCTTTGGCACATACAAAATCCTTCAGTTAAATTAAATCTCTAGAGAGCTAGATATTGGCTTGCCTAGAACTCTGACAATTGACTGACTTTGTTTTTAACTTCTCAATTGTAAAACAAAATATCTCCTGGAATTCTCTCAGAAAATAAAATTATCTGTTAACTTTCTTCCTTACAATTTGTAGGTAAGTAAACACTTAATTTCACTTACAGAACTCAGCTCTTCCTTTTTTTTTATCATTCAAAACATGACAACACTAGATAGGAGAAAAAGAAGAGTGATCTTTCCATGGAGGAATCTTAAATTGCCAGCCCTTCAATTTGCAACTTAATCTGATATGCAGATTTAACTCGGTCAAGTAGCCAAGACTAAGAAAATAATGTTGCTAAATTGTGATTTTTAGATGACATCTTTCTACAAAGTTGCTAAATTCACAAAGAATTTATGATTTTTTGTTTTTCAGAAATGTTTGAATGTTTTTGAAGCAAAATCCAAATTAATCCTTTGAAAATAACTATAATCTTCTTGGGTCCTCTGATGGGAATATTGAATGCTAGAGAACTGTGTGCTACATTACAAGTATATAATATATGTAATTAGACTCAAACTTTAGGAACGCGGTCAGGGTCCAATTACAGAATATTATGCTTATAATTAATTCTTAGCCTGTGCTCTGGTTTTAGCTATCATGTATAAGCTTGTGCATTAATATGTATTATTTTGTTAATGTATTCATACACATAATTCATGATCTATTTATGATCTTTCCACACATTGTTTCATTAGACTGCCTTTTGACAGAATGTATCTTACTCCTTAAAAATTTTTAATTAATTTTAGTGAGAAAAAAATTGTAATGTGACAGCTTCAAAACAGGTAGGTAGGAGAGTTACAACAATTAATACATTGCATATTGTTGTCTTTGCTGTAGTCATTCATAGCACAAGATGCAGACATGATATCCTGTCCAAACACTATTAGTACAGATCTTTCTTCTTACTGAATTAGGAGAAAGTAGCTATATATCTATCCTATTTTGTATATACAGATACAAAATTTTCTTTCATTTATATCACCTTTTTTGTTCAGTTTACCATCCAAATATTGTAGGTGCATGAATTCAGCAGAATATTCCAATATACTCCAGTACTCCACAACAGTAGTGGGTTATCCACAGGACTGGCAATATCCAAATCTGTTTACATGAGCCTTCCACAGCTCAGCATATTAACATGGCTTCACTTTTCATACCTCATTTCTACACTTTTCTGCTGGATGGTTAAGACCAATAAAGCAAGACCAATATAACAAAAAATGTAACTTTTGTATCTGACATGGTCAGTCAAGTCCCCTCAGGACTTATCCTGAAACCCTGTACCACAGTTTGTAGATCCTTTGTCAGTGTCAGCCATGTGGAT